GCACTTGTCCTTGTTGAACTGCATCCTGTTCATATCCGCCCACTTCTCTAACCTATCTAGGTCTGCCTGGATGCGGTCCCTGCCTGCCGGTGTATTCACTTTACCCCACAGCTTGGTGTCATCAGCGAACTTGAACAGGGTGCTCTCCACACCCTCGTCCAGGTCGCTAATGAAGATGTTGAACAGCACCACCCCAAGGACCAAGCTCTGGGGGACTCCGCTGCCCACACCCTCCCAGGTCGACATCGATCCACCACCACCCTCTGGGTGCACCTCTGGAACCAGTTTGCCACCCATGTGACTGTGCATTCATCAATAAAAAAGAAAATATATTCCTTTTAGACAAGCAGCATTTCCTGACTTGGAACCTATGAGAGGAAGGGAACTGTGTCTGAGGCGGGGAGGGGAGAGAATGGAAGATACCCGATCCAGCTCCACCAACCTAGCTGTCCCCGCTGTAGAGGTAGAGGTGGCTCTGTAGACATCACCTCTCTTCCCTTCTGGCTCTTCAAAGGACTGACTGCAAATGCAGCTTGGATATGTAACTACAGGCCAAGGTCACAGTTTGCAAGCTGTTGCCAGCCTTCACCATTTTCAAGGGGCCTAGGCCAAGCTCCAGAAGTGTGGCTAAGTAAAAGGCCCCAAAGCCTGTTTCCGAGTGGCTATAAGGTGAACCTTTGCAGGTGTGACAACTAGCTTTGCCTGCAACGTAAAGGAAGCCATCAACATGTCTAACTAAACCAGCAGAGATACAATTAAATTAGAGATGCACCGATATATCGGTTGCATATTGGATCGGCACTAATAAAAGCAAAATTAACATTATCAGCTATCAGCTTTTTTTGGCTGGTGTAGCTAATAAAGTCACTGATAAATACAATATGCCTTCTGGCCATGGCCCCCAGACACCACTTGCATGTGTGCAGTTGCATACATGCATTTGGCCAGGAATGCAGTTGGGCAGCATGGAGAGCAGCACCCTGTAGGTAAGCCTGGGGACGGGAAAGGGTGTGGGGGAGGAAAGGAGGGTAGTAGGGTGCAGAACGAGACCCCCACAGTAAGGGAGGGAGTGGGGCAGGGACTGGGGGCGCTGTGCAGCCAGGGCAGTGAGTGGAACCCAGGGACAGGGCAGGGAGTGGGACAGAGCTGCGAGGACGGCTGGGGGGGGGAGTGCTCCCCACTGCTGTGTGCACCCCTGAGGAAGAGGCATGAGTGGGCATGTGGCCCCCCAGATTTGTGCACAGGGCAGATGCGGGCTGCCTGCTGTGGGCTCTCTGATCTGCTATCTTTCCCTCAGCCGCCCCACACTGGCTGTGCATCCCCCCTGCCCACCCAGCAGCAGCGAGGGTGGCAAGTTGCGCTTCCTGCTTCTGGGCAGGCTGGGGATGCATGGCTGACATGGGGCCCCCAGGGCAAAGACAGCAGGATGGAGAGCCTTGAGCCCAGAGCGGGCAGCACACATTCACCCTCACTGTGCTCGGCTCCGGTTAAAAGCATCCCCGCTCTTAAAAATAATAGTGGTAGCGGCGCTTGAACTAAAACTCATTTGATGAGCTTTAGTTCAAGCACCACCACCTCCATTTTTAAGCACCAGGGCACTGATTCCCTAGATTAGCAACCCATGGCTCTATCCTGCTCCCTGCCCCAGGCCCATTCACCACCCTGGCTGGGCAGTGCTCCCAGCCCGTCCCATTCCCTCCCTCACCATGGGGGCCTCAATCTGCCCTTTCGCTCCACAGGCCTACCTGCATGGAGCTGGTCTCCATGCCGCCTGGCTGCATTCCTGTAAATTAAGTTATCAGATCGGTATTGGCTGATATGGTTTCATCTATATAAATATATATATAATCAGCTATTGGTATCAGCCAAGAAAATCTTTAGCGGTGCACCCCTAAATTAAATAAAGCACAAGGCCTGAAAGGAGACATTATAAAGGGAAGACCTTACAGTAAATAATCCAAACATACTGTATCACAGCTTTATCTTAAAGTAATAGTAGTAGCAAGTGATGTAACCAAACATATTAGATACTATTTTGCTATAATAGATATATTTTTGTTAAGATGCTTATTTAAATTTGTAAAAACAAAACAACCTTCAGCATTCCACAATGGGGAAAGAAAGGAGATAATAACCTCTCTGTTTTAGCTTCCTAAAGATACAAATCCCAGCTAATTGACACTTCCCAAGTCCACAAGAGATCTGATTCAGTTCAGTTCCAAATGTTTCAGTGATACAAGAAAGCTGAAATAAAACCACATCAGAGGTAATTTATTAGAATCAGCCATCTATAAATACTGAGTATATTCAGGGGGAAATTCAGAGAACTTGGCAAATTCAGTAAGACCTGCCGCCAATCTGTGCGCCACCATCCTCTACCTCTAGAGCCTACCCAGCTGGTACAGGTAAGAATCTATGTTGTGCTGTCACAGGTAGCCAGATAGACTTGAAGATAAATGTTTATTTTTGTCTTTTGAAGTGCAAGCAAATAAAAGCTAAGGCTGTAGACCTGTTTCTGCCTATTATCAGCAGCCAACCCACAAGGTTACTTATAACTCAGGTAACAAGAGCCCAGGCCTCTCTCTGTTCATGGTGCAGCAACACTATAGTTCAACATAAAATAAGAAAAAATGACAATAGCTGCATCCAGCAGAGGGTGAGGTGCGCCCTTCTGGAAACACACCAAGGGCGACATTGTATTTCCTTCTTGGTTGGCCAAGCGTCCAGATTTAGTCTACATGGCAATTTTGGTTGTCTATGTGCCAAAAATGCCACATACCCACAGGTCAGCATTCCTGTGTGCACATGGGATGACTGTGCACCTACATGTTTGTATGGACTGGGAACACACCAAAGTAAGCAGGACACATATGCGTGTTCTTTGTGGGTGCAGCCTCAGATGCCCCCAAATGCCAAAATCCATGACTACCAAACTGAGACTCAGGAACAGAAAAGGAGGTGGGTGTTCCTCTTCTGTCCCCATAGTACAGTAGCTAGGGTAGTCACCCAGGAAGCTGGAGCTCTTGGGCTCCCTTCACCCAGAAGGACTTTGGACCTGAGTTTCCCTGCCTTCCCAGGACAGTACTCCAGCCACCATGCCATAGGACAGCCATTAGGCCCTCCTTTGGAACTCCTTCTGAAACTGAGTTGCTAACATAGTTATTGCAAGAAAATGGATGGAGGGCAGTGAAGGGTATAAGCTTTGACCTCACTGGGAGCAAGGACCCCAGGTAATACCCAGAATCCCTTCTCTTCCAGGCCAGCAGCCACCATACTGATCCACAGACCCTCTGGCTGCCTTTCTCTTCACCCCACAGCTTCCCAGAAGGCCAGCTTCAAAAGGAATAGAGCATGGACTAGATAATAACTAACCTGCAGTACAGTGGTTAGAAAGTTGTGCTGCAAAGTCAGAGACACCAAGGTTCAAACTCCTCCCTCCCCAGGTAAAAGCGAAGGGCCAAAAACCCCAGACCTCCAGCTTCCCAGATGAGTACCCTAGTCACTGAGCTGTTGGGGGCAAAGAGCGGGAATGTGCTGTCATTGTCCTACCAGTACATATTTCTAGTCTGGGTTCATAAGTGACATTTTTGGCACTTAGGCAACTACACAGATGACCAAATCTGCACACTTAGACAATCAAGAAAGAAACTGAATGTTACCTTAAAGGGCTCTGAGAGAGAGAGAGAGAGAGAGAAATGCTGGGAACCACTGTATTCAGACAATGAGAAATGAAGGAGTGGAGAGACCACATGATCTTACTATGCTTGGTGCTGTCTTGGCTGCCAATGTTTGGGAGGAGGAAGATGGTTTAAAGGCTTTTACAGTTAAGTAGAGCATCAATCCCAGCACTATAAAATCAGCACTTTCCACTTCCCCGCTTGGCTCTGCCAGTCTCGCAGTGACCTAACTCTGTACACTCATCGCACATCTTACATCATTCCTGATACCGATTAAATTGGACACTGATTTCAACATCTGCCAGATGGAGATTCCCTGTCTTAAGTTCATTAAAAATGCCATAGCTATTTTGTTAGATCCACAGCAGTTTCCTTACTCCAGTTTGACAAGCACACATCTACGCTGTCCATTCGTTTATGCCCCATGCCAGCAGGATTGCACAGTAAGGGATGCAACAGTGGTATAAAATTCCTTTCTCATTTTATTGCTCACACCCGTAGTCACACTCTCCCAAAACCTATCAAGAGGCCAAGAGATACTGTTATAACTGTAACTCACAGAAAGGGAAAATGCTAATTTGAATAAAATATGGAAGAGAAAGGCTCAATCTTCATGCCTTTAGGGCCTGAAGCTGAGATCAGGATTAAAAGTTCCCCATAGTAGTATTACATTAGAAAGCTTTACACTTCCTCTGAGGCATCCAGTTTTGGTACTATCCAGCAGAGACTGGACTAAGTTGAAGCACAAATCTGATGCAAAGGGCAGTTCTTATAGAGAACTCAGGAAGTTTATGCTGCTTCCCCCACAGAAAATGGCTAGAGATCCATTCTTAAAAAATTACATTTCCAAAAGGCATAAAAATTATTTCTACTTTAATGTGACAGTTTTTTGAGTTAGAAAAAAATAACAAGGGGCTGCTGAGTTAGAAGATGGAAGGTAACAAAATAGTGACATTAAAATGGTGACATGATGCTGGAGGGTGTCTTTCTGAAGCACAATCTTTCCTACTCCTTGCCTTGCTTCCTCTTGGACACAGTTATCCATGCCTCCTCCTTTGGTGAGGTGACCAGCTCATATTTGGACTCTGTGACTTGCTCTTTCACAGGATGCAGATACAGTTTCCTGACCAGCACACTCAGCAACACTGTAGCCACCATATAAGCAAACCTAGGGGGAAAGAGTAACAAAACAAACCATGAGATATATCTGTCAAGTCACCATTGCCAGCCCTGACAGATTGGATCAGCAGGGATGGCAGAATTTAACAGGAACAGGCTGACATGGCTCTTCCCTCCCTTTCACCACCACACATGCACATTTTTCTTTTATCTACCTCAGCTCTGGGCACTCTTGACTTCCTGAGAACCCCAGCAGGGAAAGGTTTTTCATGGCGGATTCATCATGAAATCTGTCTGGATCAAATCTATAAAAGGCAAAACAAGCACTGATACTTCCTGTGTGTATGTGTACACATACACTTAAGACAAACTGAGGCTAATCCAGTTTTCAGGAAGTACATACAGTTTAATTTCTCCCTCATCCTTCCTTCTCCACTGCTTTCATTGCCCCTCACTTCCCATTGCCAGCAGCTGCTGTGTATGTATGTGAGAACTGATGATTCATTTGAATGAGAAGAGCTTGCTTCAGCATTGGGTTGTCAGAGCCTCTCAGGGAACAACTCACATGTACAGGCTTTAGTTAAAATGAGATTCTCATAATCAAGTAACTGAAAGGAGACTAATAAAATGTACGGCAGTTTAAAACAGGAGTGATTATATTACAGAAAATGTGCCATTCTGTGACTTGAAGACAGTCCTGTTTTACTGTGTATTAGATTCTTTCCATTACGCTTCAAAGCTTTGGCTCCAGGCCTAACCTTTCACAGGCAATGCTGGATCTTATGATTTCTGCAAAATCGCAATTTTGGTAGGTCTCTAGCCATAACTGCAGCCATTGAATTTCTGGCAGGCAATATCTGGCAGCAGGCTATAGCCTTGTCCTCCCTCTTCTACATGAGTCCCCAGATCCTAATGCACCTCTTTACTATATCCCAGCTCCCATTCTGGTGTGTGATCCCCTCAGGCTCTTAGGGGCCATAGCTAGCATGATGCTGCTAAAACAGAAGGCCTCTGCATGCTCCCCCTTCCCCTGAAGCAATACGGATGGCTAAGAGGCAGAATGGATCCCTTAGTGTAATTTGTTCTCCCACAACCTTTACTGTCTTCCCCTTCCAAATAGAATAGCTGACCTACATTCTCTCCTGCCCGGGCTACATTAGACCAGCATTAAAAACTACCAACAGGGGGGCCAAAGCAATCTGCAGCAATTTCCTCCCTTCTGGAATTCTGTTTTTTCAGAGCAGGATCCCCTCTTTAGTGTTCCTGGGTGGAAATAATGAGATAGTTTCCTTCCTCTTAAAGACAGAAATCTTTGACTGACATTTCGTCCTGTGAGCCATTGTTCTATGGTAATGAATAGCGATTCCAATTCCATTTTAATCATGGCTTCCCTTTCACAGCAAACTGGAAAAATAAAATCACACAGCATTTGCTGTCAAAAGTCTGTGAATTTGCAGAGAGAGATATGGGGGGAAATCTGCTTTCCACCTCCTCAACACCCACAGTGAACACAAGTGTGTAGCCTGGTCAGATTATATTTGGAATTAACCAAAATCCTGTGCTTGGAGACCAACACAAAGACCTGAAGAGATCTTCTGGAGGCCTCTATTTCACTACAATAGGCTGCTTACGGCAGCTCTGAAAGCCTACTCAGATGCTCATCCAAGCAGGACCCAAAAGGGGAAGGAAGAAAAGAAAGAAAGCAAATAGTAATAAAAGTTCCTGGGGTTGCATACTTGTAAGGTGATGGCCAAGCTGAGCTGTCCTGGAGCACCACCCCTAGAGCATAGAGCACAAGAGTCTGAAACAGAAGAGGCACCCAAGTCAGTGTTTGTATTTAATATTCCAGAAAGGTACCTTTACACAATGGGCAACCCTTACAGAAAAGTCCAACCTAACTTAATATAAAAAGGATAAATTATTCAATGTGTTTTTATATTTAATAGCAAACCCTGTCCTTGACAAACAAAGATATCCCCTACAGGATTGTTAAAAAGGGCAGCACAACTTATATTAAGGCTCTCAATCTCCAATAAACTGCATACATTTTCAGAGGGACTTTAACTGTCCCCACGTGTTTTAATCCCGACACATGAAATGCCAAGCCCAAACTTCAGCTGCCTTTTTTGTGGGCTTTAGGGGACAGAGGAACTATTTGGCTCCACTACTCTTGGTAAGTCCTATGTTCAGAATATGCAGATGAAACCTGCTTCATCTATATATATCTTCTCTTTCCTCCATGTTATAAAATGGTCAGGTTTCTATCATATGAAGAGATTTAAAGATCAGGACAAAGCCAATTCCAAAGGGCCTCTCAATATAAATACAAGTCAGCATATTTCCATTTTATAATGAACCTACTCAAAACCATCTTGAAATTAAGGAGCAGGGGGCAGCTCAGTTTAAATGAAATGGAACCCTTTGCCAGCCCCATTTAATCCAACCACTTATAAACACAGGTCTCAAGGACAGATGACTACTCAAAAGCAGAATCTGCCTTTGTGCATGTCAGCCATTTGTGGATTTCAAATGACGTTGGGGCTTTTTGTTATTATTTATTCATTACCTGGTTGTAAATGGCACTTTACTGACCAATATAAACTGGCATCCTTGACCTCAAGGCTTACAGTCCACAGGGCAAATCCTACTCCTTTATGTGAGTTAGTCTTCCTAGATCAAGCTACACTTCTTATTAGCTCATGCAACTTCAGTGAAGTCAATGGACCAGCACCAGGCCTTATTCTGCTGCCCCTGACTTCAGTTGGACTCTACTGCGAGTTAGGAATGCAGCAATGCTTGCAAACTAGCATTTTATAACTTAAGGGCCCAGTTCTGCTACCCTTATTCATCCTCAGTAATACCATGGAGCATGCTTCATTGCCCCGCTCCTATCCACTTCTGTGGGCTTCAGCTCAGGCCCTTACTTGGTAAGTAATTAAATCTCACTGGAACCCATGTATGACTATGCACAGTGAGATGTTACTCTGCATGAGAGGCCAGGCCTAAATTCCAATCTTCTACACATACCTGAACTCTGGGATCCCTCCAAATATCAGCATGGAAGAGCATTATAACTAACTACCACATGCAAGTTCACACAGGGCTGTGTAATGGCCCTCGCATTGAGGAAAAGGGAAAAGCACATTCTAGGCTCCCAGCTTAACTAGACAGATATTAGAGCCAGCTCTGAGTAAACTTTGCTAGAATAATAATCACTATAATAATAATCACTACTCACTGTAACTGGTCCCACTTGGGACGTGAAAAGGGTAAAAATCAACCAAGGAGTCTGGGTGTGAGCTCATAGCCATGTCATACCTCTTTGGGGATAACATGCTGGTCAACTCTTCCCTCCAGCTCCTGCAGCCGTGCAGCAACTGGAGTAAGCTTTGCTGTCCGCACAGTCTCACACAGCACCTGTCGGCAGTACCTGCAAGCACAAGGCTATACCAATAACCCTTTTTCAAAAGTAGGCAAGTCCACATGCCTCTGATATTAGGCAGTGCTGCTCTGAGGAAGGCTACATCAACTGGTGAACCCTGTGCATCCAGGATTATGGTCTGGTCCCAAATTGCTTCCAGCATACATCAGACACTTTCCCTTATCTATGAGAAGTCCCAGGATCTATGCAGAGAAAGCAAGAGGCACTGGGGGAGGAGGAAGGGCTGTGGAGGGAGGGCTCCAACTGTACTCCCAGCCACACACACTTTGGAAGGCACCAGCAGTTTCAGCTCATCAATGCACTGGCTCAGTAAGAATTAGTCAGAGTCCCATGCAGGTATGCTGCACTGAGCACACTAGAGCACCCATCCTGGCAGAAGACTTGCAGAGCTCCTGCATCACAAATAACAAACACACGGTCAATGTTGAAAGACAGAAGTTTCTAGGGGAATTATCTAAACACTCAGGTTCTGACACAAGTGTTTTGAATCCCCCAGAGGAACTTATCCACTACAGCATTCCATAGGATGAGTCCAATGCCTACAGAAAAAGGTATCATCACCTAATCACTTACCCTGAACTTTCCGGTCATGTATGCTGTCCACAGCTTTCTGTTCCAAGACCACCACAAGGCGTCTTGTCATGGGACCCAATCCAGATCCAAATGAAGTAAAGGGAAATGTACTTATTTACTCCAATCAGTTTTCTTGAGCAAATATTGACAAGGTCCCTAGAGGTCATTAGAAAACACACTCATCACTGGCCTCAGTTCATTGGCCAGCCTGGGAATCATCTTACAGCATATGGGACCATACTCCAGTAATTCTCAACCAGGGTGCAGCAGCACACGGGGTGCCTTGAGTTCATGTCAAGGGTGCCACTTAATGTTGGTACCATTAGGTGCACAAACATGATTCACAAGATAAACCCAGATATTTCAAATAAGAATCCATAGCATTAAAAACATTCTGGCCAGTTGTGGTCTTTCAGAGTTTGTTTTGCTCTCTTATTTTTTCTGTAGTAAAAAATGAGTGAAAGCTAACAGCTGCATTTTCTAAAGGGTGCCTTGAGTCTATTGTGGGGTGCCTTAAGTCTAAAAAGGCTGAGAACCACTGCCATAGCAACACCTTGATCAGCCCAGGTGCCTCTCCCACTCTTAAAATGAACATACCTGAGGTGCTCAATTTTCTCAAGTGTAACTGGGCCCTTCCCCAAAACTTGATCTATCTCCTTATAGAGGTTCTTCTGGATTTCTTCTGAGGTAGTCACGAAATAAACTGCCCAGGTGCACACTAGGAAAGAAATAATGGAAGTGCTGACTCAGCAGACATCACCCTTTAAGGGAGACAGATCAAGTCCAGTATTCCTTATCTCTGTAACTCTAGCTTTAATCAGCCAAGACAGTGAAGAGTCACAAGGAAAATACACAAAACACAAACATTAAAGGGTAACATCCTTATGAAATATAAGATGTAATGGCATCAAATTTGCCTAGCAGACTTTAGCTATTCCATGACAAAAAGAATTATTTCAGACAGTTCCTGCTAACAAGGAATACCAGTTGAATATTCCTTTTCCTGTTGTGATGAGACAACAGCAAATCAAGAAGGGAACAGTCATCTGAAGGCCCTGGAGTGCGGCTTAACAGACAGGAAAGGAACCAGGTGCTCTTAGGAAGGGTCAGATACTCCCTACAGCAGCTCTTTCCCCAGTCTCAGGAACCTGGCTCAACTACACCATACCATCACTCAATATGAGGGCCAGCCCTCAGGGTAAAATAGACAGGCTATATTCTGTTAAAAGGCCCCTAAGGAGTAGATCTACAATGGGGAACCTGTAGCAGAGATGAAGGGAGCAACCACAACCTCTGGTACAGAGGGCTCAGAGCACAGCTGAGACATGCTGGCTAGGAAGGGATGTGGCCAGAGTGGCTGAACAGTCACCAGTTTAGTACTTCCCTCAGCAGAAATCTTATTACCAGTCAAGGAAGGAATTTAAGTTACGTTCCCTGATGTAGGTCTGAGAGAAAGCAGGCAGCAACAGCAACAAGGCAATTCCTTTTCCAAGTGAATCTTGCTGTTAAAAAGGGGAATCAAATGACAAAGGATGGGACAGGAGGAAAAAAAATCTGTGCAACTCCTTCTCTCAGTTACTCTGGATTGGGTCCTTCATGTATCTGTTAATAGATTATTTATGATGTGTTGCAGACTTCTTCCATAATGTAATTAGAAAAAAATAATCCAAATATGAAATAAGCACACACAATGTGGTTTTTCCTAAGCCAAAGGAAACAACTAGCAGACACTCTATCGTTCCAAATTGTCTGTTCACTGAGTTGTATGGAGATCCTTTGAGAAAAAACAAACAGCCAAAAACTCTGGAAAAAATCCTGTCCTTCTGTATCACCATGTCAAGACATTCTCTTCGGGTGAGTTTTGCTTTAGTACCCTTAAACACGAGACGCTTTCTTTCAAGATTCCAAGTTGGATATTAGGAAGAACTTTCTAATTGTGGGAGTGGTTAAGTACTGGAACAGATTATGTAGAGAGGCTGAGGAATCTCTGTCATTAGAAGTTTAAGTATAGTTTAAATCAATATGTATCTAGGATATTTTCGTACTCTGAGCAAGGGACTAACTTAGATGACCTCCTGAGGTGCCATCCAGTCCTATTTTTCCCATGATTTTATGATTTGCTAAGCAGACGACTTTGGGTTTTGTAGTCCCATAGCTTTAGTTTAGAATAATTCCCCTATGAATTGACAGTATGCACAAACAGAAGCTTTCCATTTGGTTTCTATTTATGTTTGCTTTCCTCATAATCCTTATATGAATACCAAGTAACTCTTTAAAAAAAGTGTTAACACATGTACTCCAGAGGGGAATCTGAAGCATCCAGTCAAACAGCAGCAAGCAGCTCTAAGTCCTCACAGAGCAATGAAGTCTATTTCTGGTCATGATCTTTGTCGGCTTCATCTTTTGGTGTGTTTCACTGAATTTAGAATTAGCTGGATAAGCTTAGAGTCTAAGTGAAAAATGGCAGCAGGAAATTCTAAGGCTCACTGTATTGCTGGGAGGGCTGTCAATAACAGATTAGCTTCAATCCACTTACTGCAAAAGCTGTGTCAGTACTCTTCTAAAAAATGCCCCTCATACAGCAATGTCATCAACACTGCTATAAAAATACCTGCCTAAATACATTTGCAGTAGAGAAGTAAAGGTAGGAGAAATGTTGCTTTTCTTTAGCACAGGAAAGCATTCATCTGGCTGTACTATTTTTGATACAGCTCAGCCCCTAAACCTGCTTTGGAAAGAGTAGAGGGCTATCCATGTTTTTTACTTACAATTAGCAGTGATTACGCATCCTGCCAGGGAGAATATCATTGTGTCTTCTAGGATCTAGGAAATAAAATCTGATTCAGACGAAGTCAGAGAAAACATTACAGAGTGTAAAATCACATCCTCCATTCAAAACCACCTTAACTCAGGGAGCATGAAAAGCAGCATGGAAAAAAAGAACAAAACTCTCTACAGTACTGCCACTATAACATTTCTTAAGCAAAGACAGATTAATACTAAAGCAGTGGAATGGAAAGCTACCAAAAATATAATGTTAGTAGAGGCTAGATGGAATGAGATGCAAGATAGCTAATTAAATTAATCAAATGCTAAGATGCAATTAGCAACTGATCTAGCAAAACTCCATCAGTATTTAATTACACAACAGCTGTTCAGACCTGCTTGTCACTCAGGTTCCCTTGCAGTAAGGAGTCAATGAAGATATGCCGGTGGACGCTCCTGTCCCGCCTCTCCTTTATGACTTTCTTTAAGACCGATTCCATCTCCATTAAAGCTTCAAAAACACAAGTAAGGTTCTATTACAGAACCTGGGGCTCTCCCAGACCCAGACCCAGACCCAGACCCAGACCCAGGCGACCTCGATGGCCACCCAGGGCCCAGACGAAGGAGGTGGTGGGGTGTCCCTGGATCTGTGCATGGGGAGAGGGAAGGCTGGGGCAGCACTGGGCTCTTACTGGTGGGGGGGGTTACGGTGAATTTTGGGATGGCTGCAGCCCCCCACATAGCCGACTCCCAGTGCTGCTGCCACTGCCTGCCCCAAGCACAGCCCAGCCCAGCCCCCTGCCAAGAAGAGTCTGGCGCCGCCCCAACCCAGCCTGCAGAAGCAGCCTGCCCTGCCCCACCCTGCGCAGATCTGGGGGTATACCCCCCATGCCCTCTTGGAGTGCACACAGCTGCCGAAGCTGCCCCCCCTGGGATGAGCTGCTCAGAGCTCCATCCCATGCCCTGCCCCAGCTGTGCAGTGCCTGCCCCTGCCCCTGCCCCAGCTGTGCAGTGCCTGCCCCTGCCCCGGCCCTACTTCCTCCCTCACCATAGGGGCTTTGATCTGCTCCCCCCTTCCCCCACAACAGACTTACAAGCCCGACACTGCTCTCCATGCTACCCAGCTGCATATTGGAAATGGATCAGTATCGGCCAGTATGGCTCCTTAAAAATTGGCCATCAGTATCAGCCCAAAAATTCTCTATCAGTGTACCCCTAATTCAAAGAATCCCTCCACAATGTTTTTGAATTTGGTGGCACCCTGGCAGACCCCCTTCTGTACTGCTACAGCTTACCTCAGTGATTCTAAAACAAGGTGATGCCACAACCATGACAGCTAGGTGGAACTGCCCTATGCGACTCTTGTGGAGCCAGATCAGGAAGTGGCTGTGGCAGGAGTGTATGTTCCTGCCTTCAACAGAGTTATTCGATTAACTGAACACAGGCAGGAGCAACTGGCTTTGCTGTAGCTCTTCCCAGTCTGGCTACACCCTCTCTTCTTGGAAACAGAGACATATAGGACAGTTCCACTTACCTTGTACACCTCCATTTGCAGGAGAAGCATGCAGGGAGATACTTTTGGATACTGGGAATCTCACCATGCTAACTACTGAAGTGTTGACATGCAAGGGGTGGAACAACTTACCATTTTCATACTGCTTTTTCCTGGTAGTGCTTTTGTCAAGTGACCCATCCAAGAAACCCTTCCCAATTTCAGCCCAGATCTGAAAGAGGGACACAGTTACTCTTTCTAGTCAGACTACATGAAGTCCTGCCTAGTTTATTTTTTCACATACATAAAATAAAGAAAATTCTACTTCCCCAAAGTGGGCCTAAACAGGAAATTTAATTTGTAAGTACAGACATAGTCACATGGCCTACTATGTCTGTGACAGTTTTGCCGAGTGCTGCTAATACTGAGCTAAGATGAAACAGGGTCACTGAGCTCTCCCACATGAGGAGGGAGCTGAAGGAGATGAGAACATGCAAATTCTAAGTGGGAAACCTTTAAGACACTGGCTGGGATCTGAATAGCTTAACTCACAGCCCCAGTCCAAGTGACTGAAGCACTACTACAGGAACCTGTCAACATTCCTAATATTTATGACATAAAAAAAAGAAGAAAAAACATTATTTTAGGCCTTGTTTATCTATCTAGCCTTTCATATAAAGCACACCAGGGAACAAGACCAATTTTAAAGATGAGCTGCAAACGTTTGTTTTAAAAGGGTCACCATTATTCTCCCACTGAATTTCCCTCTGGGGAACCGTCTGCTTTCTGGCCAAAGCAACTAGCCATGTTAGTTAACATGGAGGTTTCAAGGGAGTTTAACGGAATTCAGAAAAAACAAATGTCACTTAATATCAATGGGATTTAACTGCCTAATTCCTGCAGGCTCTTTAGGAAACCCCAGCCTTAACAGAACCTCTGCCATATGCAAATTTTATTGCATTTATTACCTGTTTCTTTTTTTCCTGACAAAAACAGTTAGAACAAGAAAAGAGTATACCTGCTCTAATCTGAATCTCATACCTTGAACATGCAAGATGAAGGCTTCTGTTCCAGCACCTCATACCCTTGCTCACATGCATGGTGGTGATGGCTATGCACTGACTATCAGCTTATAAGAGGAATGGGAACAGGGCTTAGGAAGAGATCCTTGGCTTTTCCCCAGACTTACCGCATCATGGTTCCTACGGAACTGAATTACTTCCCGATCATCTTCAAAGTAACTGCCCATTGCTGTCTGTGTAACAGATTTCATGGCAAAACCCAGCATGTGCTGGCAAAGAGGCACGTGTTGAGACTCGGGAAAGGACAACCATTTTGCTAGCAACTCTTCTGACAGCTGAAAGGAAAGAAATCATAAAAGTGCGTGGGTCTCCACAATCCAAATAAAGCTGTAAGAGGAGGTGTTCCCACCCAGTTCACACATACCAGATGCAACTCAAACTTACTTTCTTCCTGGGGCTTTCTTTTATTAACTCAAACTAAAATAAACTTCAGCCCAAGATTCCTTGGCTGTTGCAAGGTTTTTCCTTTACAGATTTTTCTTTCTTTGACTCTTGTTCCCTTTCTAACTGGCTAGGAACACTTAAGCCATTTGATACTTCTGGTCTGGTGTTAATAACATGCACTATTAGGGCACATCCCCACAAGCGGGAACATGCATTTCCTCAGGGACAAATAGCAGTGGCGCATATTTAGTTGTCCCCAGCCATGCCCCTGCACACGCACTGGCAGATTTCCCCAGGAGGGGTAGTGGAGCTTGAGGCCAGCACCTGGGCTGGTCCCAGCAGCCTTACCTGAGGTGAGAACCTCCTGGGGCTACAGCAGTGGTGTTCTGCGTACATGGAGCCTGGTCAGCAGCTGGAGGGTGGCTCTCGCTGGCCAGGTTCTGGTTTCAGGCAGTGCATGCTGCAGCCACATGTACCACACTGCTGTTTTCTGCCCCGCTTTTTTTTGGGGTGTTTTTTTTTTTGTTTTGTTTTTGTTTGTTTTTTTAGGTACCAGGAATTCCCGGTATCTAATTTTGGGGAACCAATTCATGTGTGCCACATACGTTTTTGTGGCACCTTAAAATCCTTTGAAGCACCACAAACTGCACATTCCTGCTCGTGGGGATGCCGCCTTACTGGGCTGCTATGGCAAGTCAACAGAAAAGCTCTGCATCTGTGGATGATCTCTGTTCCACTCCAGAGCTACTAGAATTCACATATCCCTGGTTGCCTCTGAGGTCCTGAAACTATTTTAGCCACATGCCTTCCCTTACCCTGAATGCAATGAGCCAATGCCACCAAAAAGATATTTTTGTACTATATTTAAACAGATTGGCAGACACTGCCACTGCTTCGCTTTAAAAGGTGTTACCTTCCACTGCTATAGTAACAAAGACAACCATAACTGAAAGATGAAGGAAAAGCAGGATTTCCTCAGTTTTCTAACTCTGAACACTTGAAAGCATTTTTATAGAAGTGTGTTCCATTATTCCCCCATTCTAACTTAAAACGGAAAGGTGAGATACACCTGTGTGTCTGTCCCTTCACAAACAATCCAGATTCCAGTGACTTTTAGGGCATGTTAGGCCTGATCAGGAATGTCTAGTAATTACACTCTAAAAAAGCCATTTTGCTAACAACACTCTGGGAGAAGCCACTTTAAATATGATGTGGCCTATAAGCATTACCCAGTGAAATATTAATACCTCCTTCTACCCTTCCTCCCCCTCATCCCTGAAAGACTTCTTTTAATAGTGATTTATCCAAATGACTTTAGAGTAAACAAAACAAACTCCCCTGTTTCATAAAGAATGGGCATACTGTGAAGCAAAAATGGTATTTTTTTGAGAACTGAGGGAGAGAAGACAGAAATCAAGCTTATAAGTGAAATCCACTGCCTCTACACAACAAAAAAGTAATAAAAAAACTCAGAAAGTGAAAACACTGTAATTAAAAAAACCCCAAAACCCTAAAAATTTGGACATGGTTATGGTTCCACCACCAACCTTTACTCTGCTACTTCACCCAAACACCACCCCTCTTCAAGTTTCCACTAGAATCCACTAATTGCCACTCTCCTAGGGCAAGTGTGACTTGCAAACCCTCAGGTTCAGTCCTTCACCTTTTGGATGACAGCAAAGTTACTCTGCAAGGACTTAGTCACACCATTTTCATACAGCTTTTTCCTCAGGTGACTCTCTCCTGCATCACCACTCAGGCCGGACTGGTATCTCAACAAGGATTTGAGTATCATTTCAAAAGGATCCGCTGCAATCAAGGGGAAAAAAGAAATCAAAAAAAGTCTGGAATATGAGTAACCAGAACAGATGTGGGGAGGAGCAGAAGTCAGTCTCAGAAGAGTTTCTCCTGGGAGAATAAATTCTTGTATACTTTCCCCCAGCTTAACAGATCCCAGGGATCACAAGGAGCAGAGATGTGGGGAAAGGCTTCCATGCTTTCCAGAAACCAAGGTCACCAGGTCTGTGGAAGGCAAGGGCAGCAGCTGCTCCTGCCCCTCCCACAGACAGTGGGAAAGGAAGAAGCAGCCATTAGCTGCTTCCCACTGGCTCCTCTCACTCTATGGTCTCCAGTGTGAATTGGGCAGGGGTCTTTGCCCCATGTTCTGGAGTCCTTGAGGGAATGGAAGGATGGGAACAGCCCACACCTTCCCTAGCCTGGGATCCTCCCAATCCTTGGGAAGACGCGAGGAGTAGGGAAGAGGGGCAGTTACAACTACTACCCTCTTAACACTTCTACTGCTCCTGCTCCCAAATTCATTTCTAGTGCATCCTAGGACTCCTCTATACTTAGACAACATTGCTTCTGAGTAGAAATATGAGGCTTCCACAGATCTCCAAGCCTCTGCTGTTCCACATAGTTCAGACCCCCCAAAATCGCCAAAAAGAGTACAATGCTCTATTAGGTACCAGGCCTTAATAGTGCCTGGAGTTTTTAACTAAAGTTATGGGGGTGTGCTGGGAGTATGCACATAGCACAGGACAGTCCCTGCCCCCAAAGAGCTTATAATGTAAGCAGGCAAGACAGAAACGGTGGAAGGAAAAAACAGACACATTGAAGTGATGGGATTTGGCCATGATCATGTAGCAAGGCAGCAGCAGAGCCAGGAATAGAATCTCTCAAATCCGAGGGCAAGACCTTATTTACTGGACCATGACGTTTCTTCTTCTCTCTCCCCGGCACATCTTGGCAATATATTTTGAAAGTCTCTCTTGCCCTGCATCTCAAATACTGGGTACCATGAACAAACTTGGACGATCAGGTATACAGAAGCAAATGAACTCTACATATAGAGAAAGCGGAAAAGTCATTATTTCTCTGCTGAATCTCTCTGCAAAGTGTTTTGCCATGGTGTGGCTTTTGCTGCTGTCAATAACTCCACGATGCTCTACTGATGGGTCAAATGGTGTTTAAACAACCGGCACACTACTAACCAATTAGAGGGATAGATGGGCTCATGGAAGGTGGCCAAGATGTTACTGCAGATTTATCAGACATAAGCATTTTGAAGAAGAAAACCTGGACTACACCATTATATTTGGAGCTTGACATTTTTAATAGGTGTAATGGAAACAGTAAAGAAAACAAAACCCTCCAAAAAAAAGTATTATCAGGTCACAGGCAGTATGCTACATCCAAGTTCGTCTTTCTTTCCCCTTTTTTTTTTTTTTTTTACTAAAATCAGCCCAGGGCGCGTGCATGTGCTGCTATAAGTTTAATTTTGGCAAGGATTCCTTGAATTCTAGAGGCTAGAGATAGAAAGGACCCATTTAGGCACTCTGTCAAACTTCCTGCTCTAGCAAGATTGGTCCCTGTAGCACACTCTCCACACCTCATCACCTTTCACTTGTAAAAGCTCAGTTGACATGACTTCTGATGTTTCCCTGGAGATATCTCAAGAAATCTTTGCTTTCACCCCACCTATATTTTCCTTTGCCATGTCTAAAGGCCACTGAAATTTACAGGGAGCTTTTTTACAGGTTTCAATGGATTTGGGATTGGCTTTTTAATCCACTGTTCCTAGCTGTTACCTGCAGACAAACATAACCACTTACACTCCTTCCATCTTTGTACCTTAAAGGTATCTCTATAGCATCTTGTCAGCACCCATTATAACTTCCTGGTCAAACTATAAATATTGAGCTCTCCTACTCTCTCTCTCTGTGTAAGCCAACCTCAACTGGGGCTTCGGCGGGTCAGAGCTCCCACTATTGATTTACATCAACATAATTCAGTTTGAACACAGGCAGCAGAGAGGCAGCACGAGTGAACACTCTCTCATGCACTACGTGTCCGGCAAAGTAATTATAAACAAAGTTGACAGAAAAGATTATCCAGGAGCAGGAAATCACCCACTGTCACTGACCGTAAACCAAACACAGAGCAGAACAGCATCCAAGAACCAAATCTAAACACATGCCCTCCAAAAGGGTCCTAAAAGCCTCACCTGCCTGCATCCTCTGCTGACACTCATGCAAATAGGAAAGCTTTGCAGTGGACTATAACAATTGGATGGGACTGGCAGCAATAGGACAAACACCACATCAGGATACCAGCAGGCCTCACTGAAGCAAGCCTGAGTTCCCCAGCATCATAACAGTTGCTAGCCATAAAATGCTCAACAATGGTCTGTGACATTTGCTCCCAGCCCCATGCAAACAAGCATGACACAGGGAAATGGAAACAGATCCTGCCTCTGCCTCACAGCACAGCACTGGGGCTGGGATTTCCAAAGGAGCATAAAGGAGCTAAAAACACCTCACTTCCATTGCATGTCAATGGGATTTGTGTGTTTGACACCCTTAGAAACCTCAGTGTGGACTAGAATTGCCTCACTGGCCCAGAGAATTGCCCTATGAGACACCACTAGCATCAAGCCTGGACTAAAACTACAAGCCAATATTTTATTAAGTGATCAACCAACAGTTTAAGGCTACCCTGTCCTTTATTCTCAACTGCAAGAAAAGGTACAGAAATGGTCTTGTAATTATTCAATAGTGAATAATTATTCAAATTATTCAAATGACAGGTTCCATTTCTGTCTAAGATGTGACTACAGGATTTAAAAAATAAGGGAACAGGTCATATTTTTCAAGCAAATTTAAATTTCTGGAGATGTCTCAGCACTAGGGAGAGGCATGTGCAACTGATTGACTTTCTTCACCTTGCTTCAGGTGGAATTCAGCACAGGTGGCACAAAGCTCCTCCACCTTACCCCATGTCTGCTCTAGGTTGTAGCCCAGACAATCACATTCAGGTGCCGGTATGGGTTTTTCAACCAGCTCTAGGTCCTGTGCATTTCACAGGCTAGGGGTAAGGGGATTAGCTGCAGAATCTTGATCTAGAATCCAAGCTTTCATTTCACAATTGGGGAGAAAAGGAAAAAAAAAAAAAATGTTCCAAGGAACACAGGACATCCTGGGTAATCAAGTACTGTCCCCTGCTGGTGGAAGCAACTGCATCACTTAATCACCTTCCCTAAACTTAAAATTAGTTAAAGGCTTTTTGCTCCCACTACTCTGATTGGAAAGCTGCTCCAGAGCACCATCACTTGGATGACTGGAAATCTTTCCATTTCCAGCCCAAACTTATTTATGGCCAATTTATACATATTTGCTTTTGTACCAACAACCTCCTTCAACTTAAATAGGTATTTGTCTTTGCTGGTCTTCACACTTCTACTGCATTTATAACCAAATCCTTCTAGTCTCTTAAGACTGGATCTCCATGCCCTTGATTATCCTAGTAGTTCTCCTCTCCACCTGTTCCAATTTTAATTAATTTTTCCTGAACTTGGTAATCGGAACCATACACAGCATTCTAGGTGAAATCTCTCAAGGGTCCTGTACAATAGCACTAATACTTCCCTTTCCCTACTCCAAATACACTCACCTGATAAATCCTGTGATAACATTTGCATTTTCATGGCTGCATCTTACTAAGAGTTCATAGACGTAATGCTGATCGTCAAACATAACCAAGTCTTTCTCCTCTGTTTCAGTTGTATTACTCCACTCCTTTAGGTCCAATTATTTCTCTCATATTCTAAACCTTTTCTGTATTATCCATATCTTTCAACTTTGAGACCTCAGCAAATTTCAGTAAGGCGTTTCTTTGTGTACCAAAGTCATTCTTTAATTTTGATTCAGATTAGTTGCAAGACTGATCCTTGCAAACTCCATGAGCGATCCCTACCAACCCCAGAGTTCCCCTTTCAGCATCTCCCTCATTTTGTACGAGCCAGTCAATAAGAGTGATTTTTCAGTGACAACCATTTTCATCTACAAACAGTACCAGGAGCTTAAACCACTATTTTAGTTCCAACTTACTCTTATCCTCATAAACACTGAGAGTGAATTTTAACTCCAATGGATGGTTGTGCCAAAGCTCTCACTGATTTTAGCTGGGCCACAGCGAACAGAAATGCAACTAAGAGAAAGCAAATTAAACTTACATATCCTATTGGGGTTAATGTGCTGCTTCAAGAGATCAGCTGATCCCAGACTGACCACAAGGCGTCTTCCAAACCAAAAAGAAACAATTGGGCCATACTTCTCATGCAAAATCACCAAGAACTCATGCAGGCTGCCACTGGTTATGATGTCTGGCAGGTTGCCATCTCTGAGGGAACAAAAATCAAAATTTACTTTTATGAGCAGAATCATACAACAGCAAAGGTAAAATATAAGGAAAATGAAGCAGGAAGCCACTTACTTCTCATCTGTTGGAGCCATTCCCGGGATATCCAAAGCTTGCCTAGAAGCCTAAGGAAGAAGAAAAACACTCCTCAGAGTTTTGCATGAACCTTGTAATACTCACGTTTTAGCACCTGTTGGCCTGCTGCTCCAAACTTTTTACAGTAGTTTAAAAGATTGTTGTATAAACTTCCAAGCTTGCGCTGAACAAATCTTACAATAAGCCATGACTGTTTCTTCTCATAAGAGTCCATGCGTATACACTATCAGCAATTGGAGCTCTCCTTCCCTATTATTATACTTAGTTTCTACCACTGTGAGGTAAGGAGCAGAGGGAATTACATTTAACTTATCGGGGTTCATTTGCTTTCCCATCTATACTAATTTTAGGGCCAGTTTTACCTACTTAAACCTAGTTAAGTAGTATGGGTTTTCAGCAAAGGACAGCAAAGTTTGATTTACATGTTTTTAACTGCAGCTGCCAGAAAAGAGAAGGTAGTATTTGCTGCACAGTGGGTGCATCTACATGAGACGCTACTGCGCAGTAGCACTAGCAGGCGCTAACTGTGACACGATGCTACTGGGAAGAAGTGATGAGCTACTGTGCAGTAGCATCTGAAAAAAACTATGGGTATAGTACTGCACAGTAACAACTATGCAGTCCACTGCTCGTGTAGACATGGCCAGTAAAGCCACATTTGTAGTGAAAACCTTCTTCTCTTTGCCTCAAGATTAGGCAATGCATGGGGGGGAATGTGCCCCCTTGAGATTGGCCCTTCCCAGCCGGGGAGTGGAGCAGCAATGGCCGTTGCCATCCCTCCTTGAGAACATGGGGACGTCGAGAGAAGCGCCAGTGGCACTTCCAGGCCTGCGGCTGGCACTTCTGCCAGCGTTGACTGGCCACAGGGGAACCCCTCTGTTGGTGATGGGCCCCTGGTGAATCCCCCCCCCAGTCCGTGATGGGCTGTTGGTGACCCCCCAGGATCAGGAGGCATCAGCTGCCCATGATCAAAAGTGCAGCTCACCATCAATGCATGATATTGTTGTATAATATATAGTATTATAAAACAATATTTATGTATTTCTATACAAAATCCCCAGACATGATCCTGAAGGTGCTTAACTCCCAGCATGGGTCCAGTCCCACAGAATTAGCTAGGATTACTCATTTCTTTAAAGCAGTGATTCCCAACTGTTTTTAGACCCTCATTAGGCTCCTGGCCCCCTTGGAAAATGCCAGTTCTTGGTCCCTGCTTGTTGGCTTTTTTTGAGTAAGGAAAAATAATAAAGCTATCTCCTCTCGCAAAGAACTTGGGCAAGACCACAACAGCTCAGCAAGTTTGCCATATTATGACTTTCTATTTGAAACCTCTGGCATGATCTTGTGATGCACGTTTGAGCCCCTAACAGTGCTAACACTGTGTGGCACCCCACGACACCCTTGACATGATCTCAAGGTATCTTGAGGTGCGGCGGCAGCCTGGCTGAGGATCACTGCTTTGAAGAAAAGCACCTGTGCAGTTGTGCAGGGTCAGGACTCTCACTGCAGACACCTGGACATGGGGCTCTGCTTCAGCCGCGGACATCCGCACACAAGGCTCACTACAAGTTGATAGAAGAGCTGCTGGATGATGGGAATTGCCCCCCAGGAACTGCTGGGGACGGTCCTGCTTTGAGCAGAGGGCTGGACTAGATCAGTGTTTCTCAAACTGTGCGTCGCAGCCCAAAAGTGGGCAGCAAGAATGTATGACAGGGTCGCCAACAAACTTTAAACACGGATCAACAAACTATAAAAAATGGGTTCTCCTTTAAAGGAGAAACATGTGGGAACTGATGGCTGTTTCCCTGCAGAGGTCTCTCCTGAGGGGCTGCTTGGGCCCCCGCATGCCCCACCCCCACCCGTGTCCCACACACCAGGCCGGGCTCCTGCAGCGCGCTGCGGGCCGCAACCCCGGGCCGGGCGGGGGGAGGCGGCGGCGCTCACCGGGTAGAGGTAGAGCACGGCGCCCACCAGCAGCAGCACGAAGGTGATAGCGAAGATGGCGAAGTCCAGCATGGCTGGGCCGGAGCTCTCCACGTCCACCCTGGCCCGGGGGCGGCTACACTGCACGCCAGGCCCCGCCCCGCCCCGGCGCTGCTGGCGGCGGCAATGGGCGGCTCGCGGCGGCTCCTGCTGGTCTCCAACTCCAAGCTGCACGGCGGCGGGTACCTGGGCCACTGCCAGCAGCAGGTCGCCGCTTTCTTCGGGGAGTAAGTGCCCGCGGCCGGCTCTGCAGCCCGCGGCCCTTGTTCCTGAGGGCTCCTAGGCCAGGGCCGGGCGGACCTGGCTGTGCCTCCAAGGAGCCGGGGCCCGAATAAGAGCTGCGCTCCTCCCCCCCCCTGCTGCCTTGGTGCCGGCCCCCAGCATCACTGCGGAGGCCCCTCCAGCCCCAGGGGTCAGGCAGCCCCCGGGGGAGAGAGAGCAGGGAAAGGCAAAGCCTCTTCTAAAGAATAAAACGCAGCGGGGAGGAGGGTTGAAGCACTAAAGGCCTTTAAAAGCCTCCTGTTACTTAGAGCTCTGCTTTCCGCTTCCCTTCCACCCAGGAAGCCGCAGTGTCCACTGCCATCTGGGCCCGTCTCTGTCCTGTCAGTACTTGTTCATCAGGCCAGCGGGGCTGCTGGGAAGGGCAGGGCAGGGAGGGCATCCAGCAGGTTCCTGGATCAGTTGTGCTTAAACCCCCACAAAAGGAAGAGTTGGCAGAGCCCAAACTTGAGTCCCCACCGTCATCTTTTCCAGAAAAGTCAAGAGGATCTTGTTTATTCCATACGCACTTCATGACCAAGATGCCTACGCCAAAACCGCAAGAGAGAAATTTGAAAGTTTGGGTAAGGCGACAGTCTGGTTATACACCCTTTGAAGGATGTAATAAAAGTGGCGTGACGTTAAAATATTTTCTGTGAGCTTTTGGCCAGGTGGAGTTTGTCTGATAAAGAAAACAGGCTTGCTCTTTCACCTGTCCAAAATTTAGGATTGTGAGACCGGTGCGTGACTTGTATATCCATGGCGTAAGCAGCACGCAACACCTAGTCAAACCACCTTTTCGTTGCTTTCTTTATATGTACAAATTTCCCAGGATCTTCATGCAGTTGGTTGGGAGTGTTTTTGCACATCTCCCTCACAGAGTTCTGCTTATTTTGTTACAATATTTTCATTAGATCGTAATTAAGCTGCCATCAACAGAAATACAGGAATTGTTAGACCGCTTCTCTGGTGGGTAAGCTGTTTTTGTATCTGGGTGGCACTTCGGAGAACAGGCAACAAATCAAATAATGGATGGTTTGATGGGTTAGCCTTTACATATTAGGAATAATCACTCTTTGTATCCCAATCTTTCATACCGTCTATAATCATATAATGGATATTTTCACACACTTATTTAAAACTCTTTTTAAAAAGATCTACTATTGAAGTAATAGAGCAAAAGCCTGAATTATCAAGCTATTCCTCATAAAGGTAGAGGTATCCTGTTTACAGGCCACTGTGGCCCATTGGCAGTGGAGACAGGGCTCCACTGTTTCTTTACTCTTGGAGCAAGAAAGGTGATGTGGTCATCACCATGCCCCAGTCTTTCTCATACCATGTACAATGTTGTTTGCTGAATGTATTACAGTACTAGAAAAGCAGAGATCTTCCTTGAACTGTCAACAGTGATGCCCCCTGCATAATGTCCTGGTTGGTTCCAGATTGCTTAAAACTCAGCAATATAATTTGAGTAATTCAGTTATTCATTCCAATGTGAATTTGCTTAGTAACACAAGTTATTTCTTATCTACCAGTTGTCTCCAATGAATAGCATCGGTCAGGGCAGTGCCCAGTCTTCTGGGGTCCTCTAACATTCTTCTACACTTTTTCCCAAGCCCTGCCTAACCTCGACAGCTTTGTCTAGCCATCTTCAAACTGTGCTACCTTTGTCTTAATCACCTTTAGATTACTTGCTAACATGCACCACCATTCCTGTAGCAATCCTGAAATGTCCATATGAGCCATTTGCCACAATGAAAATCATCCCCTCTTTGATCTCTTAGTCAGTGTGCAGTGTTATTTCTCACTACGTAGGTAAAACATTTCCTTAATAGCTTCTTGTAAGAGTTCCAAAAACAGGTAAGATTTATCCCGTGTTCTCTCTTTAAACAGATATATATTTCTCCCCCTCCCCTTTTTTTAGGCTATGGGCTAGACAGCATACATGAATTTTCTGATCCCATAGAATCTGTAAGGAAATCTGAAGCAATATTTATAGGTAAGTGTTTTAATTCCATCTCTTTCTGCTTATGATTCATGTAGATTAATTATTGCAGTCACACTTCATACAGATACAGCAGAAAGGGAAATGAAGGATCTGACCCTGTTTAACACAGGTATTCATTAGAAAAAAATAAGAAGATTGAAATTGTTGTTTATAGGTTCCAGTAGTGATTAAGAGTTTCTTGTGCTAGTTATATGTAGAAACACATGCTATACATGTTCAACATGTGCATGGCCGAAGCTTAAAATGTTATGGCATATATACGTTTTATATCACTCTCTAAACAACGAAAACTGTCTAGTCCAGGGGTTCGCAACGTTTCTGGACAGAGTGCCAAAAACACCTGCAATCTCAACTTGTAAGATGTTGCGTACCAGGGGCAGATGGTGGGGGAGCTACAAGGGGTCTGATCCTTGTTGCAGCACAGCCCTGGCCCCTTCCCTGAGTCCACTTCGAGGTGCATATGCCAAGCAAAATGCCTTCATATGCCACACTCTGGCACCCATGCCAGCAGTTGACCCTGGGCTAGTCCATTTTAGATTGCCCTGCGCTAAGTGTTTGGGCTGCAAAAAGCCTGCTCTCCAACTCCATCTCTCTCCCCTTTGAAGATAAGTCATTAACTTTTTTTTGAAAACCCTATGATTTAGGCCTGAGCTACACTAGCATGCCTAGCAGCACACTGCTTAGCTTGGTCTAGATATATAAACCAAAAATATGCGAAATACAAAATCAAAACAAAAAGGATAAAAATAAGTCTCTTTAAAACTGTAGCGTCAGAACCAAGGGACCCAAGGCTATTATTTTTATTCAGGTCTCCAAAGTGGCTTGTGCTCTCACAGAAATAAGACACTTGCCCAAGCTCCATTCCCTAAGCCAGGGGTGTCAAACCCTTCTGGCCCTGAGGGCTGGGTGATTGTTGTGGGGCTGGTCCGACAGGCCAGGCCAGGCTGGACCCAGAGACTCTCTGCATTCTGGATCTGGAGTGGGTATCACGTGGCACAGTCCTCTTCCAGTCACTGCAGGGTTGTGCTACACCTAAGAGTGACATGTGTTTGCTATGGGGCTGTGCTGCACGCAGCGGCCACTCTACCACTCCAGGATATGAACTGGAGCAGGCACTGACTGTGGCGCACAGGACCAAATGTGCACCCTGCATGCTGTCTTGTGGGTCAGTTTTAAGACCTATAGGCAGCACCCGGGGCCTAGATGGTACAGCTGTGGTAACAGGCTGGATCTTTGACACCCCTGCCCTAAACAAATTCTTGCTGAACCCAGCTCTAGGCCTAGTTGTTTCAACTTATGTGTAACACTTCAAAAAAAAAAAAAAAAAGCTGAACAAGGCAAAGTCAAACCTGTCTTCCAAAGGCTCTTGTCTACTTCTTATACAAACCTCAATAAACTTATAAAGACTGTCCAGAATAATAAGCACAATGTCTAGGCTGGAATCTAGTTCTAGTAACAATACACTGGACCCAATAAAACCAACTAAGCCATAATTTTAATAATAACAACTCTTCAGTGCACAGAATCCCTAGCAGTTAGGCTTTAGAGAAGTCTAACTCTTGCCCCCTTATTTATCTTCAAGAAGATATTATTACTTTCTCAAGCCTGAGGAAACAGCCTGAGCTCTGGAATCCTCCTTTTTCTTTGACAAATCCTCCATTTCATCCAGTCGTTTGAAAAATACATTCTAATGAGACTTTATTCCTCTATCGGAGTATTATTATTACGATCATGTTAAGAATATATTACATACTTACATGTTAGAACAGCAGATTTGTTATGTGAAGGTAGTGTAAAGCTGAGAAGGGATCTCTAGGGCATCAGCTGATTGACGTTTGAGGTTGGCATTCTTTTAAAGCATCTGGCTTTGCTTACAGCTGAAATGATCTATAGGTGTCTGGCAGTTCTGATGATGGTCTCAATTAAAGCAAGTGGAAAACACATCAAGTAACATTGACTCTTTTCCTGCAGGGGGTGGAAACACATTTCGTCTCTTGAAAGCTCTTTATGACAACAGTTTGCTACTGGAGATCAGGAAGAGAGTTCTTGAGGTAACTTGGCCACGTGACTTTCTCAGAGCCAAGTCTTAGTCTTATGGGCTGAGAATATCTAATCACTCTGGAGTATTCTTTTAATTCGGGACTTCCCAAACTGGGCTGTCACCTCTTAGGGTGCAGGGGATTGTTTGTTAAAAAAGCCTTGATTAAAAAATAACTGGACACACTGTTCCACATCCAACTTAAATTGTGTGATGATAGGTCCCTTTTAACCCCCTGTTTTGTAGCCTGAGAAAACCAGCATGAAGCTCCTTTAAGACTAATAAAGACTGTAAATGTATGCAGCAGGCAGCTGGAGCTTTTGCCAACATAACAGTATTAAACTTTTACCCATATGTGCCTTGATACAGAATAGGACAAACTCCATCGGACAAGATTATATACAGCTTGCATACCTGGCCCTTCCTGTAACATGGTATTGACTTGGGATACATGAAGTATTGACAAGAGCCAACAGCTTTAATGGAGTTAATCACTTCTAGCCCAGCATGGCTGAGTGAGTCACATAGGGTAACCCTTAATTTAAAAGAATAGAAATAAGCTAAAATAACAATACCAAAATGGGATAAATGCCACATGGCTTGTACTTAAAAATGCCCCCTGCCAGAATTGAAAGCCTTCAGAGCTGCTCTACTATTTAGAAAACAAACATCCACTATTGAAAAAAGAAACCTGAGGATTTTTTTTCTTCTGGAGAAGCTTTGAAATAATCAGTAAGATTTAATTATGTAGCTTGGCAATGCCA